GCCTCAACTGGTTCTCCTACCATAGTTCCTCAACCATCAAAAGACAAATTTGAGACAAAATCTACTGTTTGGGCTGATACTCTAAGCCGTGGACTGGTCAATTTAAATATTTCCGGACGTGAGTTATTGCTTTTGTAACTGTTTCATTGCATCCTGTTATCTCCTTGACCTCTTATTATATACCTTCTTTTTCATTTGCAGCTAAAACAAATCCATTGGCTGACATTGGAGTTGATTTTGACGCCATAAATCGCAAGGAGAAGAGAATGGAGAAACCTAATGCTTCTACGGTAACATCCAACATTACCATGGGTAAAGCAATGGGATCTGGTTCTGGTATTGGCCGTGCTGGTGCAGGTGCTTTCAGGTCTCCACCAAATGCAGTGGTGGGTTCCGGCATGGGCATGGGCATGGGCATGACTATGACCAGTGATCCTGGATCAGGGTTTAGCATGGGAGGCTATTCAGGAGTGAACCAGCCCATTGGGATGGGGATGAATAGGCCAGGAAACTTGGGCATGGGCATGGGCATGGGCATGAACATGAACATGGGTCAAGGATATAACATGCAACAGCAGCCGGGACTTCCTCCTGGATCAACAATGTCCGGAGGTTATAATCCCATGATGGGAACAGGTAATTATGCCCAACAACCATATGGTGGTGGCTACCGTTGAGCTTGAACAACATTTGATCGCCAGAAGTCGGACGACCTGTGCTTTCCGGTTGTATTATAGAGTTACATTTACAAGTTTTCGGCTATAACTTTTGGGGTCACTTTTGATTACCTTGTTTGCCACGTTTAGCAAGTGGCTGCAGTTATTCATCTGTTTTATTGAGAGTTGCTTGCCTATGGGGTTAATTTGGATTGTGTGGTTGCCTCATTGCTCTTTAGATGATGTGATATGCATACATACCTTTGAGGATTACCATTTTGAGGTTCTCTCTATTGGTATTCTCATACATATATAGATTTTTGTCAGTTTATTCATTGTTGAGGCATGGAACAGCTTCTTGCCGAATTATATAAACGATATTCATTTTTCTTCATTCGCTTTTATTCGCAGTGAATTAAAAATTTATTTTGGAGGCCGATAGTTTCAGTTGTCCATAGGCATGGATATAGATGGTATGTTACTCAGATTTGTTGATGATTTATAACTGTTTTTCGTAATAGAGCATCTCTAATGCATTGTGTGGATAGCGATCTATCGTATTAAATAGACGGATTTCTGATTGATGTGTTATTGATTATTAATTAATAGACGGTCAAGTTTAAAATTGGTGAGATCCATTTGCTTTTCAATATTTTTGCCTGTCTTTTAATAACAATAAAATAAAGACAATTGAAAGGCGTGGAATAGAGAATTTAAGCCCTTGTTTGAGCCCCGTTTATGTCAAAATAATGAAATTTTGAATAGTGTATTAATGAAAAATGTGTGGTTAAAAAATAAAAAAAAGTTTTGAGTTTGCGTGTAATATTATTTTTTTCAACTTCGAGGGGTAGTTAGTGGTCAAATCTTGAGTTTGCTCCTTAATGGTCACCAATTCGAATCTCCTCAGGGTCATTGATGTGAGTATACGACTGTAAACTTCAGGGTCTCGTGAGATAAGTCGAGATGTGCGTAAGATGACCCAAAAATCTATGGTCATAAAAAAAAAAAAAAAAAGATTAAAATCATTGTTTTTTAAAAATGGGCTCGAGGCTTAATAGTTTTCTAAAAATAGATGTATGATCAATTTAATTGTTGGGTCTTGTTTAGGAAGTCTCTACATTTAGACCTTCGTCTAGATTCTTTTTTTCTTTTGGTCAATATCAATTTGATGGAGTTCTTGTTAATTTGCATTAAAGAATATTTTAAAATATTATTTATTTTTGTTTACATGGGAGAATTTTTTTTCAAGCAATCCACTGTTACATTGGAGATGCTAGTATATCAACTACACCTTTATTACTTCATGTCCATTTTTATGCTTAGATGAAATCGAGGATTGTGATATATCTCGTAGGCAACTATCACCACTGGACTACTACATTATATTGTTTAAATTCACTACTAAATGTGTGTGCACATATGATATATCAAGATTCTACGTATAAATTTTTTTTTAAAATAAAGAGTAAATATTTGTTATTATATTTATCTATGTAGAATGTAAAATTTCAATATATCCAATACAAAAAGACAATTTTTTAGTTTTTATTTTATTTTTATTGTCAAATAGCAATTTTATATTTTTTTACGTACCAAATAACAATGAAACATGAAAGAAAAAAAAAAATAATAAGAGTGTGTTTGATTACATTTATTTTTCATGAAAAATATCAGTTTTCCACCCAAATTCCTATTTTGTGTTTGATTGTTATTTTTTTCCATTTAAAATATTTTTCAACTTTTGAAAATATGTCTAATTTTTCTTATTTTTAAAGAAAATATTTTCTTTGGAAGGGGTGATTTTTGTTTTTCTCAAAACAAGAAAAATATTTTATTTTTTAGATGATATTTTTCATGTCAATCAAACACGCTCTAAATATTATAAATAACGTGAAATTTACCTCAATGTCACATATATAAATAATCATTTAGACTACCCTTCATGAAATCATGTTGCATGCTAGCCTCACATTTTTCAGTGGAGGTAAACCTAGGACATCCTACTTATTTAACACCTTTAATCTACTCCATTAGTTTGTTTTTCAACTCGATAATCGCTCCCCCAACTACATTACCACCTATTAAAATTTCACTTCCACCGTTAAGGCACCGTTTGATTGGCAAAATATTTCCATTGAAAATGGAATTTGGTTGGTATTTTCCATTCTTGGGAACTGCACTTTTCTTGCTTTTGTGCTATCGTCTTTTTTTTTTTTTTTACAATAAAAATAAATTCTAAGAATTATTGTAAAAAATAATTTCCTTTAATTGACAATTTTTATTTAAAACAAAGGCAAACGAACACCAAAAGATAGACGATTTTCTTGAATTTTTTTTTGTTTTAACAATGGAAACAAATTTCATCCCCAATATCAGTAAATTATATCTCTTTAATTGACAATTTTTATGTAAAATAAAATCAAACGAGCACAAAAAAATAATTTTATTTCAACATTTTTTACATGAAAAATTATACCAATCAAACACAATAATTTACAATTTTTAAGAAAAAAATTATAGATAATTCAATTCCCTAGAAGTAATATTTAAAATCCATTTTTCTCTACACATATTTTCAACCATATATTTTCTCAAAAAATAATTTTTCATGTTGTTCATTCTTTTAAATCACAGACTCTTCATTCTTTTAAATCACAGATTCATAAAATAAAAAAAAATAAAAAAATTTACTTTTCAATTTTTAATCACTTTTACACAAGCCCTAGACACCGTCTAATCAAAGTCCTAACATGTGCAATCATTAGTCTGCTTATGCTTATCTTATCTTCATTTCATTTGAGATGCAAAATTGGAATTCCTTTCATTTTACATTTTTACTTTGTCCAATTTTGTATCGAGTGATTTCCTGGAAAGTGAATATGTACTATTTGATGGGCGGAAAATTATGTCATTGATTTGAACAAGTGTAGCTAAAATTAAGACTAATATTATGGAGGTGTTACAGCAACAGATGCCCTAACAGATGGGCTGACCGAACAGGCACAAGCACAGTGAGGTTAGCCTTTTTATATTCAAGCGGGTCCCACGTCTGTGAGGGTAGGTCAGCCCTTCTGGTAATTTTTTCTTGGCAGTTCAGCATTATTCTAATATTATTTAGTTCGTTTGATTTTCATTTTTTTGAAAATTCAATTTTTTTAAAATTCATTTTTAATTACATGTTTTCAATAAAATAATATTACACGCAAATTCAAAATTTTTCTTTAAATTTTAACCACACATTCTCCATCAAAATATATAATTCAAAACACATTATTTCTCTCAAAATACGAATCTAATAAGGGCTTAATTTTACTTGAATTATAACCTCAATATATGTGGGCTAATATGATATTAAATGATAAGTGAAATTAAATTGAAAAAAATTCCTAATCCATGTGTATTTTACACCAATTCAAAAATCAAGTAGATAGTTAGAAAATTCAAATTTCAGGTATATATTTAATTAATTAAAAATATTCATTAAATAAATTTAATAAAGTTACAATTATACGATTAATGATCACAGATTTATAATCATAGGTCACAAATTTATTTAATAGTTACATATTATCAAATTAATTAGTTATTTAATTTCACATTTTATTTAATTTATCACCGTCATGTAGATTGAGATTAACCCTAATAAGATTATATAACATTATTCTAAAATTAAGGGCTAGGCGCCACAAGGCCCCTCGAATGGCCAAGCAGAACAATACTAAAATTAATGATTATGATTGGGAAATGCTACACAACCATGGGCTGTGACAAGATTGGGGTGGAGCAGCTGGTGCCAATTTCAAATTAGTGGCGACACCTCAACCCTGTTTGAGTAGCAAAATTCTTATAATTGTTGTCACGTCAAATTTATGACTTTTTTGAGTTACATTATTTTCAAAAAAATATATTATTCAGTAATAATTTGATATCATTTCAATCACACATTTTTTAATAAAATAATATTATACGTAAATCTAAAACTTTTCTTTATTTTTAATCACATATTTCACATTGATTTGACATGAATAATACATTTTTCTAGAATTTGGCTCAAGCACGAGCTTAATATCAACCACAATATACATGTATCAGAATTGCATTTATAAAGAATAATGCTATTTATAATAAATATTATCGACAATCGTTTTACATAATATTTGTCTTTTATTATTTAATATATAAGACAATAAAAAATTATTATATTAATATATCAAATAATAAAGTATCATGTATATGTAATATAAGGCTATCATCATAATTTATTATTATGAATAGCATTAAATATGATGTAAGTTTTATAATTAATTACTTAATCGCCATTCAAATTTCCAGCACACTTGTATTGAACTGAGTCAGCCCCTCCCTTAAATGCCACTTTAAACCCTAACTCATGCCTATCCCCACTGTCAGTTTCTCTGAAAATTTTCTCATTTCATCAATGGCAATGGCGACTTCTTCTTCCATCTGCCGACACCACCCGCCGTTAACCCCTTCTATACCAGTTCACTCCAATAAGCTCAACACCCTCTTCCGCTTCAATCCCCAGAAAGATAGAAATGCCCTTATCATCCGCTGCTCCCTCCGCCGCCACCGCCCGGAGTATATCCCCAACCATATTCCTGACCCTAAGTATGTGCGCATCTTCGATACCACACTGCGTGACGGTGAACAGTCTCCCGGCGCCACCATGACCACCAAGGAGAAGCTCGATATCGCTCGCCAGCTTGCCAGGCTTGGGGTGGATATTATCGAGGCGGGATTTCCTGCCTCCTCCGAGGCTGATTTTGAAGCTGTGAAATTGATTGCCCGGGAAGTAGGAAATGTTTATTCCAGTGATGGCGATGGTCAGGAGGTGCACGTGCCGGTAATATGCGGTTTGTCTAGGTGTAACAAGAAGGATATTGATAAGGCATGGGAGGCTGTGCAGCGGGCCAAGAAGCCCAGGATTCACACGTTCATTGCCACCAGTGAAATCCATATGAAGTACAAATTGAAGATGACACCCGAGCAGGTGATTGAGAAGGCAAGGAGCATGGTTGCCTATGCAAGGAGTTTGGGGTGTAATGATGTTGAATTTAGCCCCGAAGATGCTGGAAGGTTTGTCCGATTGAGGGTCACTTCTTTCCTCTTCTTGATGACAATAATCAAAATAAGTTTGATAGGGATTTCAATCTGTTTGATACCTAAAAAAAGAGCTTGCATGTAAACTTCGGAGTATGAAGGAAAGAAATGGAGGATAATCTAGTTTATTCAGTACCTGATATTTAAATGTGAAAAGCAATTAGAATATGCAGAGGTGGATAAAAGAACCTTTGCTTTTAATGATTTGGACATTAATAACAGAAATTTTCATCTGTTAATGAAAAAGCTGTGTAAATTTTAGAAAATATCCTTCACATTCAAAGAAATGTTTTATTCTTCCTTGTTTCCTGTGACTGTTACAGTGAACAAAATGATTCTTTTTTTTTTTTTCCATTTTTTTTCCTTATGATGTTCCGTCTGTGGGCTGAAAGTTACCTTTGAGGATATGTTCCTTTAGAATTTAGTTGTTTCTGCCACTATTTTCTAGTTTCAAGTAGAATTGGTGAACCAGTGCTTATGATAAAATATATCCTATAATTATAAAATTCTTCACTAGTTAACTGTACATCCATTTGTTTTGGATACTTTTATATTGAGAATCATGTGTTTTAATTCACTAAATATTCGTTGAAATGTTGTCACTAAATACTTTTATATTATTATTATTATTATTATTATTATTATTATTTTTTTATCAAAAATCCTACTATGTATAAATGGCTAAACCAAATAGATCAAGTAACTTGTAAGTCAAATGTAAGCTAATTTCTCATAACATTTTATGATGTGCCATATATGGTTAAAATTATCAAAACGCATTTCGGGAATATATTTGACCAGAAAGCACAGATATTTTTTTCCCCTTTCCATTGGAAAGTCCGGAAGCTTTCTTATGTTGGCTTCTTCTAGTTTCTTATGGTATTTGTTTCAACTTTGGAATGATAGTCAATTTCATTGCAAAGCTATACTTCTAGAAGCATGAAAGTGATAGGTGCTTCCACTGTAAGTGGTCTGGTTTGGGCTTATAGAATAATTTGAATGTAATGTATAATTGGTGATTAACCCTGAGAACTCATAGAATTTGTAAATGTTTTTTTGTTACATGCTCTTGACTAGAAAATGTGAACATAAAATGATACTAGAAGAGCATAGTATTAACAATGGTTGTTTGCCACACCAGTCCACATTATTATCTTACATTTATTTCCTTACTTAAAACAAGAGAAGTTGGTGCTTAAAATTTCTCTACAACAAGGACGACATAGAATTTTTCATTATATTCACTCACTTTCTCTTCCTTTGGTTTCTTACAGATCTGACAGAGAGTTTCTTTACCAAATTCTGGGAGAGGTTATCAAGGCTGGGGCAACAACTCTTAACATCCCTGATACAGTAGGCTACACTTTGCCTACTGAATTTGGGCAGCTGATTGCTGACTTAAAAGTCAATACTCCTGGCATTGAGAATGTAATTATATCTACACATTGTCAGAATGACCTGGGACTTTCTACTGCTAATACTTTAGCGGTTGGTATTTCTTTTTGCTGTGTTCCAAGCTTTTTACATAACCCACTTCAGCTAGTGCTTACATTGGAACTCATTTTTCTAAGGGGGCATGTGCTGGTGCAAGGCAAGTAGAGGTGACCATCAATGGCATTGGTGAAAGAGCTGGTAATGCCTCATTAGAGGAGGTGAGTGGTCCTTTTTGGCCACGGATTTCCTTCTTTTTTGTAACCCTTTTACTGCAAACAGCAGAAACTCACTCACAATTGATCTATGAGCATGTTTGGCTCAGCTTAAAAATTACAACTTTTTTCTATTTGTAACTTATAAAAAGTTGACTTTACTACCAACAAAACTTGCTTTTCTAGAAAGTAAGCCCTTGTTTTTCGCTGAACTTATTTAAAAACTCATTTTTCGCTGAACTTATTTTCAATCCTACATTCTCCAAATAAAATAAATTTTCATATAAGCCTAAAACTTTTCCCTACGTTTTAAATACCTTCTTAAAAAAAAAATCACTATTACAAAATCTATTCTCCCAAAAAATGGGGCTCAAACAAACCTCAAATAATGATTTTATTTTCTTGAAAAGTAACTCTTCGGCTTAGCCTAACATGCTTTATATACTCCAAATATCCTAAATATTTAAGAGCTGTTCCTATTACCTTTGTTCTTAGTCGTCCTTCTCTGCTAAATTCAGAATTATTGTGAGAACTATTATTATGGGTGAATAGTTAGTAACATATTTTTAATAAGAAATTAGTGTATACTTCTTTGCCTCGTTATTCGTAGGATTATCTCTAAGAGGGTCATTGTGTCCGGTCAGACACCAAAATATTTGAAACTCGTTATGACTATTACCTCAAATTTTCTCCTTCTCCCTTCAACATTACCTTCTATATATTAATTGATATTTAACATTCAACGCTTATAAGTTGTTCTTTTTTTTTTTTTTTAATTTAGATGATTGCTTCTTACTTTCTCATTACAGGTTGTGATGGCCTTCAAATGCCGTGGAGAGCAAGTACTAGATGGTCTTTATACAGGGATTAATACACAACATATTGTTATGGCTAGCAAGATGGTGCGGTCTCCTAAGAATACTTTGAATTTAATGTAGTTTTTCTTGATTTAATTTGTTTCTATTGTAACTAAGTTTACACTGTTTCTAGGTAGAAGAATATAGTGGGCTGCGCGTGCAGCCACACAAAGCAATTGTTGGAGCCAATGCCTTTGCTCATGAGAGTGGTATCCATCAGGTTCATGTTGCAAGCTAATATATCTGGATACATTACTTTGGCCTAAGAGCTTTAAACACTTTGCTTTGATTGTGCTGTGTCTATTTGGCATACCATAGCCATTTTAATTTGTTGGAATTTGTAAATCCATATTCTATTCTTAGGAACTTATTTAATTCTATTTATCATTTTATGGAGTTGTAGACTATTGGGCTTTTTTCTTCCTAAAAAGAATAACAAAACAATAAGAGAAGGAAACAATGCGGGAAAACATAAACAAAGTATGTCACTATGTCTTGTGCGAACCTACCCATTAGGGTCACATCTCATTGGGTCAGGACATAGTGACCTAAGCAATGATGAATGATAGGAACAGAATCTAGCGGACAACACATACTTAATGCTTCACTTGATATTTGTTCTTTTCCCCTACTTCGTTTTAAATGGTATTTCATTTCCCTTATCTTTTAAATGTATCCATTTTCTTGCTCTGTCGAAACACTATTTTGTAGTTTGTTTAACTGGTCGACTGTTGAGTCCACCTTTTGAAACTGTTGCTACTTATTCCCCTGAATCCTTTCTCCTTTTCCTATCTTTTACATTTTTCTAGGACGGAATGCTTAAACATAAGAATACATATGAGATTATATCTCCTGAAGATATTGGGCTTCTTCGTTCTAACGAATCTGGTATCGTCCTTGGAAAACTGAGGTATGCTGAAACGTTCCTTTCGTGTTTGCTTTGGTGTTGCTTATAGACTCTTGCAAGCTTAGCCAAACATGCTCTGTATTCTAGTTTTTCAGATTTTTTTTCTTCTTTTTACTTTTTCTAATTTTAATTGTATGCTGGATTTATACGTTCTGTTTATCAGATATAGTAGTGTATTAGCTTCTTGTATGGTGTCATTGTCTTATTTGCAGTAAAGTTGGGATATTTTAATATGTTGAGCCTGTCAATCTTAGTGACTTTTGAAGGTTCCTCCATCTTGTTGCAATAGAAATAAACAAAGACAAATAAGTTTTAGCTAATGTAATAAAGATTCTCAATTATTGTTCCAATGTTGCTTGGACAACAGAAAGAGCTGCAGGCTTATCTGTCCATTGAATCATATTGCCCGAAGGTGTGCATTCATGTTCCCATGCTAAAGTTTAAATCAATTCCTGCCATTATCCATGCCAAGTAATTAAGAACATACTCAGTTAATAATTTTTTTTCCGCGGCCGAAAAGATTATTGTTTGCATGAAGCTTCCTTATCCTTCTTCTGGGAGGAGAGAAGAATTTTTTCCCCCCTTTTTTCCCTGAAGGCCATCTGTCTAAGAAATACTGCTATCTTGAATATTTCTGAGACGAAAACTGTAGTTTTTCCTTGATATTATGTGCCACCTGGGCATTATTCTCATGGCATAAATTTTTCACCATTTCCATTGTTGTCGTTAATCA